AATAAATAAGTAAATAAATAAATACACCAGGTGTCTTAGTTACTTTTTTCATTGCTGAGACAAAATACCCAATACCCAAAGTTAAAGGAGGAAAGGTTTATTTCAGCTCAGTTTGTAGAGGTTTCAGTCCATAGTTGGCTGGCTCCAAGGCCGGGTGCGTGCCAGAGGGGAATGACAGAGGAGAAACAGTCCATGGCAGGGTTGGCAGGAGACAACAAGCAGCAGCAGCAGCAAACTCCCTTTCCCTTTAATCCCCTCAAGGCTACATTCCTTTTGGGCAGTCCCAGCACATCCAGGGTCTGGCTTCTATTTTCAGTAAATCCATTCAGCCACCCCCAGAACTAGCTAGTTCCAATCAGTGGACTAATTTAGTACCACACACCCTTAATGCAAGTATCATACCCTTAATCCACATTCACACACCTTAGATCCAGCTATTTCCAAAAAGCCCCACATGTGACTCCATGGGGGTTTGGGGAGACAACTAGATACAAAACCTAACACCAAGATAGGCTTTCAAACACTTTATTAGTTCTAATATTTAGCAATCAAAATTATAAATGTTGAACCAATGGTAGAAAACACTTTTATAAAAACTCTGGCCATAATTCCCCCTACAGCCAATTATGTTTAGTTATAAGGAAACTACCATGATTATATATATGAGAATAGAGAACATTTGTCAGCAACAAATATTTCAAGAACGCCAAGTTTGTGTGAGGCCCTGCAGAAAAAATGGCCTTTGCCAGGGATTTAGCTCAGTGGTTCCGCCGCCTGCCTTGAAAGTGGAAAGACCAGAGTTCCATCCCTGGTACAAAAAGAAAAAAGAAAAAAATGGCCTTTCCTGCCCCCAAAAGAGTTTAGTCTTCTCTCACTTCTACCATTTGTTCAGCAATAGCAAATTACTAAAAATTATTCTTAAGTAAACTCTTCTTCTATCATAAGTCATAAATCATAATCGGCTAAATGCTAACACACCGTAAGTCACAGTTGCTTTTGCTGTAGTCTAGTCAGTATTCACGAGGGGCTGAGGATTTAGCTCAGTCGTGCCTCGACTGCTTGGCAAGCCCAAAGTCCTGAGTTTGATCCCCGGTACCAGAAAAAAAACCCTCAATATTCACAAACCCAGCAAGTATTGCTGGAACCTCCTCTCTGGCCTGTTACGTCCAATGAGTTCTGTGCTTGGGCCCTCAAAAGATTTAACATTCCATCAATCCTTGTGTTTTGACTAAGTTATTACAAGTTTTTCAGCTAAAGAAAAAAATAACAATCCTTCAAATATATCAACATGCTAACAGTGATGATTTTTTGATTGAGTTATGATTCCATCTTTTAAATTTATATTTTCTGAAGTTTCTAGAACGAAAGGGGCTGGGGATTTAGCTCAGTGGCACCGCACCTGCCTCACAAGCACAAGGTCCTGAATTCAATCCCTGATGCAAAAAAAAAAAAAAAATTACAATGAACATGCATTCATTTGCTACTAAGAAAAGAAAAAATAATTATTTTAATAAGAAATCTTTCCTTGCAATTATTATCTAAATAACCATTCTGTGTCCCTTGCAAGGACCAAGACAAAAAAGTGTTATTTTTACCAAAAAAAAAAAAAGGTTTTGCTTTTGAAGCAGGAGGACCAAGTTCAAACCCAGCCTGGGCATCTCAGGGACTCACCAAGACCCTGTATCAAAATTTTAAAAAAGGCTGGAGATGTAGCTCAGTGCAAAGGCCCTGGGTTCAAGCCCTGGCACCTTAAAAAATAGGTTTTTTAAAAATAATTCTGATATTCAGGAAACTTGAAAGTAATCCATGCTGATTCACTGAATAACTACTCGTTGCAATCTACTAATTTGTCCTCTCACTGAACTGATAGGCATGTGGTGATGGTTGGAATGGTTACCTTGGGCCTGTGACTTCCTAGCAAGGTGCTGGGGGGACCAGCTGTGTTTATAAATCAGGGAGCTGATAATCCCTAACAAACTACACAATGAGCCAAAAGAGCACAAATGTAAACCCTAGTAGAGTTACTTGACCACGATCGTCCAACATTTCCTGATCAGTTAAATGTGGAAAAAACATTTTCCTTTTTCCAATTCTCAATTCAAAGCCAAGTTTAAGACAAAATCTTTGTCAAAGGTGATGTGGATGTTTGCTCAAAAGCTATTAGCTTTCTTAAGAGTTCTTACTCCAAAATCTAAAGAGAAAAAGCAGTAAAATCACAGGTCAGCCACAAACTTCTATACTGGGGGTCGCCAAGGAGAGGGCACTTCCAGCCAAGAGTTTTTGGGTCTGATTTTGATATTTCTTAGATTTGCAACTGGCAAAATGTTCATTCCCTATAGGCGGTGCTAGTTAGGAAATCACTGGTTCACCATTTCCCTCTAATTAAGCATAGAAAATAATCATTATCTCAATCAGACATAGACTAGGCTACAAAGTGGCCATACTTTTTATCTAACAGAATTTTTTTAAAGTTCTATAAATGTCTTAGTAGCGCCGGGGATTTAGCTCAGTGATTCCGGCGCCTGCCTCACACGCAGAAGGACCTAAGTTCGATCCCTGGTACCATAAAAAAGAAAAAAAGAAAAAAAAGAAAAATGTCTTAGTAGCCACACGAAAGGCTAAACACAGTATAGAAAGTACCAAAATGTACACAAATTTCCAAATTTTTGAGATTTCATTCATTAATGGAAAATAACGGGATTAATAAACAATTTGGAAATGTTTTCTTTTGCTTTGTTTTGAGACAGTGTCTCACTATGTAGTCCAGGATGGCCTTGAACTTACTATGTAGCTAGGGCTGACCCTGAACTTTCGGTGATCAGCTTCCCAGGTGCTAAGACTACAGGGGTGCCCCACCATGCCCTGGAAATTTTTTATATTGGAAATAAAGAATGCTTTTTGAGAAAGAGTTCTTTCAAGAATGAGTTCTAGGGCTGGGGATTTAGCTCAGTGGTTCCGGCGCCTGCCTTACAAGTGTAAGGTCCCGAGTTCAATCCCTGGTACCAAAAAAAAAAAAAAAAAATGAGTTCAGATTTCCTTAACATATGTCAGAGATTGTTTTTTAAAAAATAAGCCACCCATGAGAGAATGGGCCTTTATGGCTATTAGTTAAATTAATCCTGGGCCAGGGATTTAGCTCAGTGATTTCGCTGCCTGCTGCACAAGCACAAGGATGCGAGTTTGATCCCCGGTGGCAAAAAAAAAAAA